ATTATGTGATCAATTAATCTTTGATAAAGGAGGCAAGAATATGCAATGAAGAAAAAAGCTTCTTCAACAAATGGTGTTGGCAAAACTGGACAGCTACATGCAAAAGTATGAAACTGGACCACTTCCTCAGACCATACACAAAAAATAAACTCCAAATGGATTAAGGATCTAAATGTGAGACCTGAGACCATAAAAATCCTAGAAGAGAAATAGGCAGTAATTTCTCTGACAAAAGGCATAGCAACATTTCTAGATATCTTTACTGAAACAAAAGCAAAAATAAACTATTGGGCCTACATCAAAACAGAAAGCTCCTGCATAGCAAAGAAAACAACAACAAACTTAAAAGGCAACCTACTGAATGGGAGGAGATATTTACAAATGACATGTCTGATAAAGGTTTAGCATCTAAAATATATAAAGAACTTCTACAATGCAATACCAAAAAAACAAATAATCCAATTTAAAAAATAGGCAGAAAACATGGACAGACATTTCTGCAAAGACATCCAGGTGGCCAACAGACACATAAGGGGATGCTCAATATCACTCATCATCAGGGAAATGCAAATCAAAACCATATGAGATATCACCCATACCTGTCAAAATGGCTAAAAAATAAAAAAACTCAAGAAACAACAAGAGTTGGCAAGGATGTGGAGAAAAGGGAACACTTGTGCAGTGTTGGTGGGAATGAAAAGTGGTGCATCCACTATGGAAGACAGTATGGAGGTTCCTCAAAAAATTAAAAATAGAACTACCATATAGTCCAGTAATCGCACTACTGGATATTTATCCAAAGAATATGAAAACAGTAATTCGAAGGGATACATGCACCCCCATGTTCCCTGCATCATTTATGATAGCCAACCTGTGGAAGCAACCTAAGTTTCCATCAGTAGACGAATGGACAAAGAACACGTGAAGATATGATACATCGATATATATCAATATTTGAATATATATATGTATAAATATATATAAAATAAATAATATATATTCAGCCATAAAAAAAAGAATGAAATCTTGCCATTTGCAACAACATGGATGGAGCTGAGTATAATGCTAAGTGAAATAAGCCAGTCAGGGAAAAACAAATACCATGTGATTCCACTCACATGTGGAATTTAAGGAACAAAATAGTGAACAAAGGAAAAAGAGAGAGAGACGAACCAAAAACAAACTCTTAACTATAGAGAATAAGTAAATGGTTGCCCAAGGAGAGGTGGGTGGAGAGATGAGTGAAACAGGTGAAGGGGATTAAGAGTACACTTACGGCAGGGGCCCCTGGTTGGCTCAATCAGTTGAGCATCCGACTTTGGCTTGGGTCATGATCTTCATGGCTAGTGGGTTAGAGCCCTGCATCGGGCTCTGTGCTGACAGCTCAGAGCCTGCAGCCTGTCTTCGGATTCTGTGTCTCCCTTTCTCTCTGACCCTCCCCTGTTCACGCTGTCTCTCTCTCTCTCTCTCTCTTAAAAATAAATAAAACATTAAAAAATACATTTAAAAAAAGAGTATACTTACGGCAATGAGCACTCAGTGATGTATAGAATTGTCAAATCACTACATTGTATATCTGAAACTAATATAACACTGTATGCTAACTACATTGGAATGAAATTTACAAAAAGACTTAGTCTTACAAAAACGTTTTAATAAAATATGAAAACAACCATGCCATATCTTATATGAAAAATGAAGCACAGAAAACTACATATATGGTATAGATAAAAGATTAAATGAAAATTATGTATCAACATGTTGACAATATATATACCTGGGTAGTAATTGTCCTAATGGGGTGTTTTTCCTACCTCATTATACTTTTTTTGTACCTTCCAAATATTCCATAATGTACCTCTATTATTTTAACAGTTTTAAAATCAAAGATTAGGAAAATTTTCTCAATAAATTGGAAGGAACTTGATTCGAGCCATAGGTTCTTCAGTTGTGCTTGGCTTCTCCCCCTTTGAAATGAGCCCCCACCTCATCTTTCCAGTAGGCGCTCATAGATCATCGCTATTACAGTATCACTGATTGCATTTCTTACACTCATTCCATAACTGGAGGCTTGTATCTCCCTCTTACCATCACCCGTTTCGGCCACATACCTCCCCCCAGAAATCATCAGGTTGTTCTCCGTATTTGTAGTTCTGATTCTGCTTTTTGTTTATTCGTTTTTAAATTCCATTTATGAGTACAGTCCGAGTATTTGTCTTTCTCAATCTGACTTATTTCACTTAGTGTAATACCAATCCTTGTTGCCTCAAATGGCATGATCTCATCCTTTTTTATGACTGTATAATATTCAATTATATATATATATATATATATATACATTTTCCTTATCCATTCATCTACTGATGGACCCTTAGGTTGTTCTCATGTCATGGTTATTGTAAATAGTGCAGCAATTAACATAGGGGTGCATATATTTGAGTTGCTTTTGTTTCCAATAGTGGAATTACTGGATCATATGGTATTTCTATGATTCTTTTCCTCTCATGAAGCATAATAATATGCCACTTTTCATTAAAGCCAAATACTTTAACTTTGATATTTCTAATTCTTAAAACAACCCTACAATGTGAATATTGTTAGGTGCCTTTACAAGTAGATACAATGAGGCTCAGAGAGGTTAAGGAACTTGATCAGGGTCATACAACTAAAAAGCAGTGGTTCTAGGATTCCAGCCCAATCCTGCTCCAGACCAGTAATCTTCAACTCTGGCTAACCATCAAAATCACCTCCAGAAATTTAAAATATTCAAATGAGAGGCGCCTGGGTGGCTCAGTCGGTTAAGCGTCCAACTTCAGCTCAGGTCATGATCTCACAGTTCGTGGGTTCGAGGTCCGAGTCGGGCTCTGTGCTGACAGCTCAGAGCCTGGAGCCTGTTTCAGATTCTGTGTCTCCCTCTCTCTCTGACCCTCCCCTGCTCACGCTGTCTCTCTCGCTCTCTCTCAGAAATAAATAAAACATTTAAAAAATTTTTTAAATAAAATAAAATATTCAAATGATCAGGCTTCCTTTCAGACATTAAATTGCTGTTTCCGGAGGTGGGCCCAGACATTTGCACTTATTAAAAAAAAAAAAAAAAAAGCTTTTAAATGTGGAAAGTTCTAATGTTTCCAAGGTTGAGCACCATTGATCTATAACAACCCTTTCTCTTTTTACAGACTGGAAAACTGAGTCTCAGAGAGGGGAGATTATTGCATCTTACAGCATAAAGTGTTGTAACCAGAGTGCAAATGAGGATTTCCCTAATCCCATGTTGCCCCCTGGGAGCTTACTTGACTCTTCTTCCACCATCTCTTGCACCGCATGGGCAAAGGGGCCAGGCTTGGCCCATATGACAATTCTTGTGTGCCCCCTGGTGGGCTAAAGTGGTAAAGAGCCACTGCCTTAATAGGTACTTAATAGGTAAGAGTGAAGAGATCTACAGGCCTCCTGTATTGCCTGATCCCAAGGCTGCCCATTGATTTATACAAGCTGGCTGCTCACTCGGTAGCACTTTACAGCATCCCTGCACTTGGAAGGTAAGAAAACAACATCAACACAAAAATCACTCCAGATTGGTACAGTGCCTTGCCTCTAAAGACTTGCTATATACCAAGCCAACTTTAAACTGTATAAGACACTTCCTCATCTAAGCACTCAAGGGACAAATTTTTAAAATCTTCTAGTAACTATTATTAAAGTCGTCCTATGGTTCATCTCACAGATTTTGGAGTCAATCATTCCTGAGGACAAATTCTAGCTCTACAATTTATCAATCTTACACACTTTGGTGAGCGACATGGCATCTTTCACCCACAGTTTTATCACCTGTAAAATGGTCATTATAGAGCCCAGTTCATACAAGTGGTATGGAGACTAAATGTGTATGTAAAGTGCACTGTGCCTGGACCGTGTAACTCTCCTCCACCCTCAAGCCCCACAAATGAGGATTATTATTACTGAAATGGATCCATGTTGGGTGCATTTTTAGCAGGCCTGGGGAAAACTCCCAAAAAGGAAAAAATGATTTCAGTGCCATCTTATAGGATCTCACACCTCAGACAGAACCTGAAGCAGCTGCACTCCCCTTCAGGGAATCTTTCCCCTTAAACATAGCTTCTGCATGGAGTCCTGCTCTGCTTCCTGGGGCATTCTCACGATGAGAAGACGAGCAGCGGCCAGCAAAGGAGACTGAGAATGAGGCACCCGATGCAGAAGAGACACCAGGAGAGTATGTTATTCTCGAGGCTGCTCTGGCATCTCTGGAGGAGGAAATGACCAGCCGTGATAGGTTAGTACAACAGGCACCGGGAACTGACCACCCAATTCAGCAAAGGAAGGTCATTGGTGACCTTGACCAAAGCAATTTTGATGTGAAATTCTGCCTGGAGAAAGGAATGTGATACAAGCATGTACAACTCTTCGGAGAGGTTTTTCTATAAAGTGGAGCCAAGAGATGGAGTGGTCGCTGGAGGAGGAAATAGTTTCATTTTTAAGATGTGAGAACTAACAGCATAGTAGTAGGGATGCTGGGAACGATCCTCTGTGAGGGCAGAACTGGTGCTTCAGAGGACAGAGGGAAGAGCTGGGAGAGTGGCTCCCTTCCTAGGTCAGCGGGACCAGGATTTGGTGCACATGGGAGCACAGCCATTGTTTGCCTCCGGTAACAAGCGCAGGGGCAGCGTCTATGCACACAGGGTTCTACACACACTGCCCTCAGGAGGGCAGATGGAATGGGAGCCTGTGCAAGCTCTCTTCTAGTGGAAGCTGCTTTCTCAGTGAGGTACGAAGCAAGGTTATCAAAGGGAGCAGCTGCTTTTCAGTGAAACAAAGTACCATCAAGAGAGCAAGGGACATGTTCCGATTTAGAAATAATAATTCAAAGAGTGGCGGTGATGTTGTTTAGTGGGTTAAGAGTCTTTGCCGGAAACAAGTAACAAGGTTTGCGTGCAACTTCAACTGAAATTCAAATAACAATAAATACATAATGCAGTGCTCTGAATTTTATTTTCAAATAACAACTTAAACCACTCTACAAAACGTTCTATAACGTTATCTAAGGAAACTTGTGCAAAACCAGGGTGGGACTCAGACCCCATTTCCCTATCATCAAAATATCATGCAAACACTTTCTTTCTTAGAGGATGTTCAGCATTATGGAATTACTTACAGATGATGGTACATTTTAATTCCATATACCATAATGAGAATTTCCCCCAAGCATAAAACTCTTTAAAACAATATACATTTCTTTGGAACCATTTCAGATGAAGCTGTGTTGGGTGCTTTTTCAGGAAGTTAAAACTAAGCTCAATCTCCTTTCCTGAACCACAGCCTCACACACAGATTTGCACAAAATATACCAACTACTCCTCAGATAGCTCGTGTAGGGGTGCCCATGGTTCACGTCGTCACAGGTAGAAGAGAGAGTGTGCTAGTTCCAAACTGGGTTCTTTATGAATGCTCTGTGCCACCAGAAAGGTCAGCTTGTGCGCATACTGACAGGGTGCTGGGATGCTGATTAAGCCCTGAGAACAAAACATATGGATAGCAGCTAAGAGGATAACTTGTTCTCCAAAGTGACAGATTTTCCTGAATTTTGTTCCCTCCTAGCTGCATGTAGTAGAATGCACTGGGGAGTACACAGTAACTAAACTCAAGCAAGGGCAACCTCATCCTCGGGGAACACGGGCTCACTGGGCAAGAGGGGGTGTCATCACATCTAGTGCTAATCTGAGTTTCCCATGACTTGACACTCCAAGGGGCTCAGAGCAAATCTTGGCCTTGGACTTCAAGAGCAGCTCTTGGCTTCATGCACAGGAACACAGGACAGACGAGCCCATAACCCTCCCACGAGACACAGCATCTGAGTTGGCTTCAACTTCCTCAACTGTAACTTGGAAATAACAATACCCTGATTTCCTCCCAGGCTTGCATAAGATAATGCATAGAATAAAGCCATCCGGAAATTATAAATACTAATGTTATAAATAATGATGATGATGATGATATTAATAGTTACTGCTCTTTGAATTCTATGACAAACTGTTTCTCCCACTGTGGACTCAAGGACTCATTCATTCATTCATTTATTCATTCCTCCTGCATGAAGTCAGGAGGTAGGGATACAAACATGAATTGGATGACAATTCCTGGATGGGAACCCTGAGAGTCAGTACCCACATAAGTATACAGCTGTCACTCACCGGCCAGTTATAGTACAGGTGACACAGTTTGAATGTAAGTCTCTGCATGTGGTCGGGCTTCAAGCCGTTGTCATCATAGATGACATTATAGTAGGTGGGATTAACGGTTCCCTGACAGGCAGCCTGACTGATCAAGTAGAAGTCATACCTGAGGGGGAAATGGAATGGATGTGAGAAAGAAGGCAAACAGAATAAGGCCTCGCTTGAAGAACACACAGCGAATGTTTCATTAAAAACGGATTGTCATTAATAGCACTTGCCACTCAGGACGCGTTGCTTCTGAGTCCACCACGGTGCCCAGTGGCGGGTTCCGCACGGACCGGCTCGCTTCCGTGCAGAATCGTAGCATGCACCTCTTCCTGACCACAATCACGGATAGTTTGGAGCTTGGAACCAGAAAGGCAAAAGGTAAGATGCAGAGAACTAAAACCAAGCCTAGAGCTTTCTACTGACCTTTTTTGATAATTTCTAAATGGAATAAATAAATTCATTCATTAGAAGAACACTGCAAAAATGAAAAAACTAAAAATTATCTCCAATCTCTCCTCCCTCAGAAATGCATACAGTTTTTTAATTTTTTAAGAGTGTATTTATTTATTTTGAGAGAAAGAGATGGGGGGGGGCGCAGGGGAAGGGGAGAGAGGGAAAGAGAGTACTCACAAACTGTGAGATCATGACCTGAACTGAAATCAAGAGGCAGACTCTTAACCAACTAAGCCACCCAGGTGTCCTCAATATAGTTTTTAAAATTAGAGATTGTCCTTCTTTATTGCAAAGGTGTGATGTGTGCTGGTTTATATCATTTGAAGGGGACAGGGAGGAACAGTTAATAGGGCAATGAACTTCAATTAGCATTTCCAAAGGAGGATTTTTCCAGAATTTTCCATAGAGACAAGATTTCTTTTTCCATTAGCAATAGTGCCCCTATTTCACCTTCACTCTTCTTCTCAATTTCTGAATAGCAAAGAGACCCACAAGTCCTCTTATTCCTCAAATCATCACTTCTGAGTCCTGCAAGACACACACCTGGCGGGATGGATGGACAGACCAAATGTACATTTGGGTCAAATGTTGAGTGGCCAAACACGAAAGTCAGGATTTAGTAAAGCCAAGGCCAAATCCATTTACTGGCCCTAATTCCCAAAGGAACTTCTGGGAGGCAACGATTGTGAAATTTCACTTCCAAGCATTTTAATTATCTTAAATATACATTATGGTTTTCAATATTGCAACTTTTGGAACCTGATGTTCTACTGCAAGGCAACTCCTTAGCACTGCTCACTGCTGAACTCACTCCTGCTCGCCCCAACTGCACACTTGTCATTCTCCACAGACACAGTCACCTGAGGTCAGTGGGGAGGGAGATATTTTAGCTGTGAGGTCTGGACGCAGGGGGAGGTGACACCGTGCTCTCCCTGCACTCTGACAGTCACTGGTGAGGTCAAGGCTCAGCCCCTCTGTGGCTCACGGCTGCAACTTCGGTTGATGGTGGTGATGGCGGTGCCACCTGACAGACAGACGCTGCGCCCCGCTCGTAATAGGATGTCTTCCAAATATTTTAGGAAGCCAATTTAAGATTATCATCCTCCCCGATTTACCACTTCTAATATTTTTCTGGCACCTGCCACTTGACATCCTAACAGAGGAAAATGTACTGCAACACGGAATCTAGAAATGTGGCAGCGGAGGTGAGGACGGTCTGATTTCCATACGTGGCGCAGCCTGGACTGCCCTCACACCCCCTTCAGCACCACTGGCGACCTCGGCTGCGCACCAGTGCCTGCACGCCAGGGCTTCAGCCCCCGCTGTGGATTTGGGCCTTGAATTTGAAACCACCGCTTGTTCAATCTCATGGCGTATCAGTACGGATGAAGCATCTTCACCCGCCTGCTGAGTCTCAGCGTCAGCTGCTCTGGGGGTCACCTGCCTTCCTCCAGGGGCCCCCACGCAGGCCCACGCCACCCTATTCAGAGGGGACCATCTCAACCACCCTCCAGTCTAGGGGAAACCTGTCCATCCTGCTGTACTCACAGGACGCAGACAAGAGCGAAGCATGCCTGCATGAAAACCAGCTGTCGGTGTACGGTAATCTGATTAGCTATGATACATGTGCCCTGGTTGCACGTGTGGGGAAAGAACCATCACTCAGTACCTGGTGTTTGCACTCGCTTCTGTCACACTGCTCAGCAGCTGCGGAACCTCGTATTCAATCAGCGCTTTCAGCTGACCGTCCCCCACCCCATCCCGGTACACAATTATCCGCGCCGGCAGATCATGGTTGTGCTGGTACCATTTGTTGAGTGCTCCTGCAGAATGTGATGGTAGGAAGAAAAGAATGACTTCTCCAACACCAACAAAGAATAAAATCCCCGTGTAGTTCAATGTTTTAAATAAGTTCGCTGTTTCAGACCACTGTAACACAGGGTAATACCTAATTTGAGTCGTGACTGCACTAATATAAAAATGGATCACTTTAGGGTACATTTGGCATCTCTGCTATTTGAGGAATCCTACTGGTCCCTGTGGTAAAATATGGTCTTAAACACAGCATATCTCTTTAGTAAAATTTTAATATTTAAGGAATAAATTAAGCCAGGCAGTAGACCAATTCCCAAAACCAAATTAATACTAATTTAGTTTCTTCAAGTCCTTCCATGCTATCAATAGATATGGACTACAGAACTTCATGTCCTTTTCGTCTCCAATAAGCATAAACATGAAAACAGAAGGAGAGCTCATGGCTGACCCTCTGGAAGCATCTCTTACCAGGGGCTCACCAATTCGACTCTAAGTTGCACTGACAGGAGAAACTCTGAAAACATTTCCACCCACTGCAGCTAGAAACTGCCTACAGAGCAGAGACCAGACAGTAACGCCGACTCAACAGAAACCTTTCACAACTACTTAAAAAAAGGAACCAAGTTTTGAAGTGAGGGCAAAGTAATATAATAATTCTTTTCCTGTATATGCTGTGCAGCTGTTTTAGAAGAATTTATTGTCTAGGAAATTCATTTGAGTTCAATAGAAGATGATCATGTATGTAAGGCCATAACCAACACATATCACCAAATTCAATTTTTTAGGAAACAATATTTACACCCCTTCCCCAAACGTATAGATGGGAAAATGCGGATCAGGAGAGGGAGTGAATCGTACAAGCAGCACTATAGGGAGTGGCAAAGCCAGATCCTGGCCAGAGCTGGGCAGGGGACAGGAGCCTCAGACACCTGTTTCCACTGTGCCCTGCTGCGAATGAGCTCCCCTCCATGTCTGCCTTCTTCCCCATCTTCTCCCGCGATGCCACCCCTCATCTGCAAGCGTTCTTATCCCCGCCCCACAGGCTTCCTCCCTATTTCTAGACCTCACAGCACTCTGTCATAACCCCTGTTTCTCCAGGTAGATTCCGCTGGCCTCCACACGACTTGCAAGAGCCACCAGCAGCTACAAACTCCCCTGCCTCTTGGCTTTCTGTTTACCACGCACAGATGACAAATGTAAATTCTACAGCATCTGTTAGTGTGGGTCAGGATACAGCGTTGGGACTCTCCATCTGGGCGATGGCTGACTTGGGCAGGCTTGGGGAGTCTGCTTCCACCATCTGGTCTGCTATAGGACGCGGACCCTGGGGCCTGAAGGAATAGTGCTGGGGGCCCAACCCCACTGCTACACTTTTAGTACCGGTCATGAAAACTTTTAAGCAATCTGCAACATCAGTCGCTGTTCTCTGAAGGATACACCGAGAAAACCACCTAAAACAAGAAAAAAAAAAAAGTTCAACTTCAAAATGTCTACCATAAACCTGCATTAGAATTAAATGAAGAAACAAAAAACAATCTAAGTGTCCATCAACGGGAGAATGGGTAAAGAAAATGTGATGCTTCAGATGGCTAATGGACACACGAGAAGATACTCAACATCACTCATCAGCAGGGAACTACTAATCAAAACCACAGTGAGATACCACCTTACACCTGTCAGAACGGCAGAATAGTTAAAATTAACAACTCAGGAAACAACAGACATTGGCAAGGATGCAGAGAAAGGGGAACCCTTTTGCACTTTTGGCTGGAATGCAAACTGGAGCAGCCACTCTGGAAAACAGTACGGAGGTTCCACAAAAAATTAAAAATAGAATTACCCTATGACCCAGCAATTGCAGTACTAGATATTTACCCAAAGGCTGCAGGTGTGCTGTTTCAAAGGGACACATGCACCCCGATGTGGATAGCAGTGCTATTAACAATAGCCAAAGTATGGAAACAGCCCAAATGCCCGTTGACAATGAATGGATAAAGAAGATATGGTATATGTTCTTCTGAGTAGTATACAATGGAATACTACTCAGTGATGACAGAGAATGAAATCTTACCATTTGCAACAATGTGGATAGAACTAGAATGCATTATGCTATACGAAATAAGTCAGAAAAAGACAGATATCATATGATTTCACTCCTATGTGGGATTTAAGAAACACAACAGATGAACATACAATGTTGAATGTCATTATACCTCAATCAAAATAAAAAGAAATAGACATTGAGGAAAACTTAATGATCATGAGCCTATATATGGTATATAATCACAACCATATTAAAAATCTCCCCTCCTCAAAAGAAAGGTATTGATAATCTATAAGGAACTCACCAAACTACACGCCCGAAAAACAAACAACCCAGTGAAGAAATGGGCAGAAGACATGAACAGACACTTCTCCAAAGGGGACATCCAGATGGCCAACAGACACATGAAACAATGCTCAGCATCCCTCATCAGGGAAATACAAATCAAAACCACACTGAGATACCACCTCACGCCAGTCAGAGTGGCTAAAATGAGCAAATCAGAGAACTCGAGATGCTGGCGAGGATGTGGAGAAACGGGCACCCTCCTCCACTGTTGGTGGGAATGTAAACTGGTACAGCCCCTCTGGAAAACAGTGTGGAGGTTCCTCAGGAAACTAACAATAGAACTCCCCTATGACCCAGCAATAGCACTGCTAGGAATTTACCCAAGGGATCCAGAAATGCTGAGGCATAGGAGCACATGTACCCCAATGTTCATAGCAGCACTCTCCACAATAGCTAAAACATGGAAAGAGCCTAAGTGTCCATCAACAGATGAATGGATCAAGAAGATGTGGTTTATCTATACCATGGAATACTACATGGCAATGAGAAACAATGAAATCTGGCCATGTGTAGCAACATGGATGGACCTTGAGGGTGTTATGCTGAGCGAAATAAGTCAGGCAGAGAAGGACAAATATCATATGTTTGCACGTATAGGAGGATTAGGAGGAACTTGACGGAGGAACAAGGGGGAGAAGAAGGGCGGAAATGGTGGGGGAAAGGGAGAGAGGCAAACCATGAGAGACTCTTGAATGCTGACAAAAACTGAGGACTGATGGATGTGGGGGGGAGGGGGGATGGGCATGGAGGAGGACACTTGTGGGGATGAGCACTGGGTGTTATGTGGAAACTAATTTGACAATAAACTATTTGAAAAAAAAAAAAAAAGAAAGGTATTGATAAGAGACACTAAAGCATAGTGCTGGCATCAGACATGCTTGGGTTCAAAGCCTGGCTGGCATACTCACCAGCCATGTGACTTTGCTACGTGAACCTAAGCCTCAGTTTCCTCATCGGTACCAGAGAAACACATAGGATGGTAAGGTAGTTACTACTTCACAAGATTGTTATAAAAGTGAAATTAGATAATATATAAAAGCACTTAGCATACTACTTAGCACAAAATAAGCAATAATAAATACAAACCACTATGTTGTTATTATAAAGGAATTTATTAGTTTACCAGGTCCACTTTCAAAATATTCAAAACCAGAGTGCATTATGCTAAGCGAAGTAAGTCAGTCAGAGAAAGACAGGTATCATAATTTCACTCATCTGTGGAATTTAAGAAACAAAACAGCATAGGGGAAGGGAGGAAAAAACAAATAAGACAGAAACAGAGAGGGAGGCAAACCATAAGAGACAAATACAGAAAACAAACTGAGGGCGCAGGAGAGGAGATAGGTGGGGGGTGGGCTAAGTGGATGATGGGCATTAAGGATGACACTTGTTAGGTTTTGCACTGAGCCTTATATGTAAGTCATGAATCACTGAATTCTACTCCTGGAATGAATGCTATACTGCATTTTAACTAAAATTTAAATAATTAATTAAAAATAAATAAATAAATGGAATCATATAGTAAAAAAAACAACAAAAGACAGTAACAAATAAACAAAAAATATTCAAAGATTTCTCAAGCATAAACTTCTATAGGTGAGCCTTTTGGACTTGAAATCTGAACATGATTAGCTTATTTTAATTTCAGAAGAATTTTAATTGTTAAACACATTAAGTAAATACAAGCACTTGCAAAATGGAAATCATGACTTTGTGGTAAGTACACATCAACATCATTATATATGCCAATAATGACACAATTAGGAATGTGGCTAACAAATTGGAAGTCCTTTATCTGCTTGATCAACACGTCAGTGTGTCACATTAATTGACACATATAACAGGGATCTCATACAACCTGGAATGACAGCCACCTTTCCTATTTCTCACCATCCCAAATATATACCTGACCACAAGTTTAATGGAGTAAATCCAAGAGCTTAAGTGCAGGAATAAAAAATGTTGCAAACAGTTCCTACAGCCTCAAAACACATCGCTTAGTTACAAATAATGAAACAATTCTAAGGACTACAGTGAAATAAGTACTATGAGTTACTATTTAATGCATTATCCCCGAACCTGCTTATGTTTTCAGTAGCTGTGTGAACAACTACATCACTGTCTGCAAATGTTAATAACAATAAGCAGGTATGGAGCGGTTGCTATGGGAGGCTGTGTTTTAAGCACTTTATCTTATGTAATGTCCATAAATGCCTTATGAAACAGGCATCATCTTCATGTCCATTTTACAGGTCACAGCAACTTTACATAGCCAGATGTCAGATACAGAATAAGTAATTGGCATATCAGGACATAGATCCAAGCAATCAGATTCCAAAGCTCTCTGCTGGACGTAAGTTCCTAGTACAGCACCCAATGCAATGCAGATGTTCAGAAAATAAATACACAAGAATTCCTATCATCCAGCATTTGAGGAATCAGCCTGGCATACAAGGATTACCTTGTCCTAATGAATGTATAAACATAAGGCTACATATTATCTTAACATTATCTATCACATTTTTATATGTAAGTATAATTTGGGGCCCCTGGGTGGCTCAGTCGGTTAAGTCTCCGACTTGGGCTCAGGTCATGATCTCACTGTTCGTAAGTTCAAGCCCCATGTCAGGCTCTGTGCTGACAGCTCAGAGCCTGGAGCCTGGTTTGGATTCTGTGTCTCCCTCTCTCTGCCCCTCCCCCACTCACTCACTTGCTCTCTCTCCCTCAAAAATAAACATGAAAAAAATGTATATGTAAGTATAATTTATGACTAAAGTGTTCATATTTTTTAAATGAGGGAAGAATACAAACTGTTTCCTGTTGAATGGCTTTAGTTAAACCACAAACAATAATTATGGAATATGTTGGGGTAATTGGAAACATACCTACCTGGTGATTCCAGTGTTAATGCTGGCCACAAATCCAACCACCATCATTCCCCTGCTGAATTCGTCTTTACAGACATCAATACCAACCACCATCAGGGACTTTAACTGTAAGAGTAAAGTTTTCATGATTTAATGGAATGAGGCATTATTTCCCCAAACAACAATTTAATATGAAGTTTTGAAAAAACTGTCCCTGGTTATTAAACTGTTTAAATTAGGGAAACCAAGGTCCAGATGAAAGAGATCATCAAAACAGAAACCAAAGAGACTTAAAGATGGAGGGATGGGGGCGAGGGGCTGGATGGATCAGTTGGTTAAACATCCAACTCTTGATTTCAGCTCAGGTCATGATCTCATAGTTCGTGGGTCTGAGCCCAGTGTCAGGCTCTGTGCTAACAGCATGGAGCCTGCTTGAGATTCTCTCTCTCTCTCTCTCTCTCTCTCTCTCTCTCTTTGCCCCTCTCCCACTAGCTGTCTGTCTCTCTCTCTCAAAATAAATAAATATACTTTAAAAAAAAGATGGAGGGATGAATATGGTATATAATTTGCCTAGGAGACTCACTGTAGTGCAAAATAGCTACCATCCTTTGTGGGGGTAGAGAAGGGCTGTCTGTGTGGCTCAAGAGTTTCTGGAAAAGTGATCAGTCATTTCCCCCTAGCCTCTGGGCAGGAGGGATCTCAAGAGGAAGTCCACTGCCAGTTGTTCAAATGTCTAAGGGATCCTCATCACCCATTGGCTATGAGCCACCAGGGAGGCAGCTGGGGCTCAGTGAACACATCCTGGTTATGGAAATGGAAGGGAAATGGACAACATCCTCTCATTTCTCACCCTCTCACTTCCTTCCCCAGTGGCCAAACATTCAGGAAAGACGGAGGTTTTCTTAGTTCCCACCACAGTTCAAAGCCATAGCTCTGCCAGCTCCCCAAGCTGTGGGGAGGCCCCTTCCAGGGTGTGGGGCTACTCTGAGAGCTAGTGCACTGCAGAGAGCGGGTAAAAGGAGAGGCCACAGCACACATACTTTACATGGCATGGGAGGCTCCAGATCAAGCCCCCCCCCCCCCCCAAGACTGTGCCAACCTAGATTCTCTTTCATGAAACATTCTGTTATCCGCTTACCCAAAGCTCCTGGAGAGCAGGAGCCACACCTCACCTTCTGGATGGTGTCTTGTCTCAGGCCACAACCCAGAGAGGACAAACAACACACCCAACACACAAAACAAATGCTTCTGGGATCATGTGAAAATGACTCCCACTTTGATTTCATTTTGAAATTAACAAATGGGTTGATTACTAAAAGATTGACAGACTGCTCACAGGGATCTCCACAGCCCACAGTTCGCCTCCGAGTTTACAGGCCATTTGCATGGCAATCTTGGTAGCGACACTCATCATCATCCCCTGTTTATTCAAGGTCCGAGTGAGCACACACTGGCTGGGCACTGGGCAGAAGGAGCTCAAGTAGTTTTTAATGGTATCATAGTAGCTCTTCTGATTAGAAGGTAGAATACACATCACCTAAAAGAAAAAGGAAGAAAAAAGGAAGGAAAAAAGTCAATTTACTTATGCTTAGAAGCAGCAGGGAGCCTACTTGGGATTCCTCCCTCCCCCCCACACACAAAAAAACCACATACACTCTCTCTCCCCTACCCCACCCCACTCCCCACTCTCTCTAAAATAAATAAATAAATAAATAATTTAAAAAATGAATACATGGATTTTCCAAACATCTCTTGCCTTTAAGCTCCCAAGAAACAAATATTAAAATGCCTACACAGTTGTGTTAAATGGCCTTTGACCACTGACAATCCCATTTGAAACGCCTTTTTATTAGCCATAGGTTCTCAGTCCTGCTCCAAAGCCCCCCATCCGCCCTGGCTTTCCCTTCCTCTCTCTTCGGATTTGATTCTCAGGCTCCTCAAATTCCCTGCTAACCCAGGTCTTACTCCCGCTCCCTGCCGCCCCCTACTGGCCCCTTCCCTGTGGCTCTCCAGCCGTCAGCCCCACCATCCCTCCCCAGCCTCACCCACAGACAGGCCAAGTGGAGGATTAGCATACACGGTGGTCTCTTCCCCACCAGGTACTAGACAATCAAAATAAAAGAAACCAACCACAATTGTTTTGTTTGCTGTGACCTGAGAGTAGGGCTATGGGGGGAGGGGAAAATAAGGAGAAGGAAGCTTCAGGTCCTCATGTATTTTTAAATTCCACCCATCTCTGCCACCGCCTCTGTTTCTTAGCAGGTATTTCCCTCAGAAGGGCTTCTCCTGGCCTGCTTCCATCTCCTTTCCATCTTTTATTCTTTACCTTCAGAACCTACCAAATTATACAAAAGATAGGCACCGTCATGATTTGCAGAGGACAAATAAGGTGATTTTTCACCTATAAATGTGTACAAAAACATAATGCGAAGGGCCAAAATTATTTACAATTAAGTATATAAAATAGGGAAATATATCTCAGGGGGCCTTCCCACTTTCCACCCTATGAATTTGGAGCCAAGTGAGGCAGGCCTCAGAACACGGCAGTGGTTGAACAGGGATGGGGCCGAAAGAAGGTGGGAGACAAGTGAGACTGGCTGCCTAGGAGGGGACAGGGACGTGAGGGGGTAAGTGGAAGGTAACAGGGGCCACGCTCCCCTTATCAGAGAAGAGAGGTACAAATATGGCAATGGGGAATGCTTTCCTGGGGGGTTGGACTGGAACTGGATATACACACAGAGAGACATGGTAATAACATAGACATAAGGGTGCATGCATGTACAGCTGACCCTTGAACAACGCAGGTTTAAACTATGCAAGTCCACTTATATGCAGATTTTTTAGTAAATATAGTACAGTACTGTAAATGTATTTCTCCTTCCTTATGATTTCCTTAATAACACTTTTTTCTCTAGCTTACTTTTGTGTGAGAATACAGTATATAGTACATAAAATACAAAATATGTGTTAATCAACTATGTTATAAGGCTTCTAATCAACAATAGGTTATAAGGAGTTAAGTTTTGTGGGAGTCAAAAGTCACATGGGGATTTGAGGCTATGCAGGGAGTCTATACCCCTAAACCCCACACTGTTCAAGGGTCAACGGTGTTTGGGTACATCTATAGAGACACATGCGTACACAATATTCCTGGCTTTGCCTATTGAGAAAGCCTGGGGGGAGTGACACCCCATTAACAAATAAGCACATCTAGCTGTCCAGATTTTGATTTTTTTTTAATTAATGTTCATTTTTGAGAGAGAGAGAGAGAGACAGAGCATGAGTGGGCAAAAGGCAGAGATAAGAAGACACAGGCTCCAGGCTCCATGATATTAGCACAGAGCCCAAAGCTGGGCTCGAACTCACGAACTGAGAGATCATGACCTGAGCCAAAGTCAGACACTTAACCAACGGAGCCATCCAGGTGTCCCCCAGATTTTGATTTCTAAATACTGTTCTCAACTAAAAGGAATATGGCTCATTGGAGAAATATCTAAGCCCAGAGCCAGGCAGCAAAATTTCAAGATTAACCTAGAACACAGTATTGTGCCAGATAGTAAGAAAGTGTCCCCAAAATAATGGAGACATATCTATAAGTCACAGAAGCCAAACTGAATGAGTCTCCTATTAACAAAATCATGAAAAATTTGGGCATCAAAATAAATAATATTGGTAATAGACTATAAGCTGGTAAATAAAATAGGAAACCATGAATCCATAACTGATAAAAATAAATGAACAAAGAAATACGGAGAAGAGAAAGTTCCTCCTTATAGTATAAGGTAATCTACTAAATGTGGAAGGCATACAATGCTACATACTAAATGTAGGAAATCAGAAAGCCACCGTTTGGCAATCATCATAGTAAAAATAATAAATAAAATAATAAAAAAGAATTATCAATGGATTCTAACATTAGCAGATAAAAGCTTGATGAGAAACAGGATATTTACATACTCTCAAAGTCTCTCCCTGCAAAACACAAAACAAAAACACCTGTTTAATTACAAAGAGAGGAGTAAACGTACAGTGGAGAAAACTGGCAGATACCACCTTAATTAATGGGATGCCTCCTGGTAGGACGCATTAAGAACACAGAATCATTGCCATAATGCTCCTGCCAAAAGTACATAAACTGAATTTAATTATAAGAAAACACCAGACAAACCCATATTGAGGGACATTATACAAAGTAACTGGTCTATACCCTTCAAAACTGGAAGGTCATCGAAAACTATGGAACTGTTCCAGACTGAAGGAGAGTCTAAAGAGACGGGACAACTAAATGCAATGTTTTAGATCCTTTTACTAGAGAGGGCATTTTGGGGACAAATGGAGAAATGTGAATGGAGTCTGTGCATTAACTGGTCTTCCTGTTTCTCGATTTTGATGGTTGTCCTATAGTTCTGTAGGAGAGTGGCCTTGTTTGTAGAGACAGGCACTGAAGTACTGCAGAGCAATGAGCATCATGTCTGTAACCTACTCTCAAATGGTTCAGGAAAAAGGATGGTAGATAAATAGACAGACAGACAGGCAGAGGGTGGCGGGAGGGAAGGAAGGAAGGAAGGAAGGAAGGAAGGAAGGAAGGAAGGAAGGAAGGAAGGAAGGAAGGAAGGAAACAATAAAGCAAATATAATAAAATGTCAACAACTGGGGAATCTGGATGAAGGGTATATGGGAGTTCTTTGTACTCTTCTTGCAATCTTTCTGTTAAGTTTTATTTTAAAGGGAAAATATGCTCTTAGGGTTAGAATTCTCTTTGTTTAATATAACATCCTTATGGGCCTTTTTTGTGTCTGACTACAACAGAAGCAGAAATCGCTAAGCTGCTCTGCAGGAGATGGGGACCAGAATGCTGGGAGCCTAGACACATGAGTGAGGTAGGTAAGAGAGGCGGCCGTGAGGTGGGAGGCTGGGGCCTGGGAGAAGAGTAAGCATATCCAAGAAAGAGAAGTGGTTGAGAGAGTTTTAAGAACAAGGCTGTCAATTTTAACTTGTCTGGAACGCTGGGGTGTGCTGTAACCTCGTCTCAGACCCAAACCCTCTGCGAAGTCAGCTGCGCAGGCGCACACACACACACAGGCTACTTTGGGAAATGAGAGTTGTGAAAATGGATGCAGCGCAGCGGCAGAGGGCACTCACAGCAGAGGGCAAGAGTTCAGAGGAGGCAGCCGTAGGTGACATGGAAAAATCTAAGCCCTCCAAGAATCCGCCAAAACACTGGGGAGAGCCCCGGGTACCCAGCATTTATGGTGTAAGACAGGAGTCACTTTATCTTACATAAAAGCTGGGCCCCAACAAGTTAAAAATATGTAGACATCCAGGAGGCTGAGATGGGGGCAAAAACAAGTATTTAAAAATTAATATTAGATATATGAAAGGGAAATAAAATATTGATTAAAATGCTAAGAGTAATGCTTTCTTGGGTTCTTAGGGAAATACACAGCTATTTGCAAACATACCATGAGAGAATATGTTCGCATTCCTTCTTCCAAGGAAAGAAGAAGGTTAGACATAAGGAAAAAATAAAAACGATACATCAAAACCACAACTATCCTATACTTACCAACTGAACATCAGCATCAACATGTCTCTGTACAGCGCTGAAGAATGCAGCTGGATTCTCTTGTGCTTTTATGCTACACAAAAAGATTAATTTTAAGAATATGTAATTCCCTCTTTAGTAGCATATAACATGTAGAGTCAAAAACAATGCAAACAGAATTGTATAATCCCACTACAATACACCAGAAACATTTGATAATCATTTTTAGTAGCCTAAAAATAGTTTGGTGGAAAATGCAATTTTCTCTATTGTACGCAATCCCTACAATTAATCGTTCTGTTTTTCCAAAAAGAGGTTGAAAGTGAGCTTTTGAAATCACAAGTCTCAATACCAAGCATCTGAAATTGGCCTGAGTTAAATTGGGATTAAGATTTCTCTAATACCAGGGCGCCTGGGTGGCTCAGTCAGTTAAGTGTCTGGCTCTTGGTTTCAGCTCAGGACATGATCTCACAGTTCATAAATTCAAGCCCCAAGCTGGGCTACATGCTGACCGTGTGGAACCTGCTTGAGATTCTCTCTCCCTCTATCTGAGCCCTTCCCCCACCTAAATAAATAAGTAAACTTAAAAAAAAGACTTATATAATACCAAATCTCCATGAGAAATTTAAAAAGTCTCAAAAATCATCAGATTAATGAGACTAAGATATTCAGCTAATCAGAATGATTCAGAATGAAAGATTTTTCTCTTAGTGACAGCTTGCTTGGAGCCTGGAATATTTAGCCTGCATCGACCGATTCGTCAGCAAGCACTTAACTGTTCTGTGCTTACATTACTTTAGGGGCCAGGTGCTACAGAAATAATTCCCACACAGAGGACTTCATAGATTTAGTTTCTTTATGTAGAATCCACTTCTGATTATGTATAAACAATTGGAGTGTCCTAATGCCCAGTGGCCTTTCCAGACTTGCCCACTAGGTGGCAGGACCGCTGTTTCCAGATCACTGGCTCTAACAGCTACAGGAATGGCCTGCAGCTCTGTTAAAACTAAAATGTTTCTGACTTTTCCAATTCGATCTCTTGCACGCAGACTCAGCGTCCATTCTTTTTAAATTCATCAGGCAAATGTTTCATATGGGAGAAGCCATGCATATAAACCTAACAGGTAAATAGATACTTCATGGGAAAGAAAAAGGATGGAATAAAATATGGGCTTTCAGATAAAACAGGCTAAGAATAGAACACGGCAAGGGCTTATTTGTGGAATTCATGTAAGAAAGAGACTGTTATGTCATCCTGGGTCTGTGACTGTGGCTTTCATGAATCTTTTCCTGCTTCATTAGCTCATGGGTTAAGAGAAATTAGAGCAGGTAAACTCAAACCAGGCGATTTGTTAACAAACGTGATAAAATGGGAATTCTGAACTACAGTGTAAAATGAGACTTGGTTGTAAAATGAGTGTGGTTTTCAACAATGCTTGTACTGCTGATGTAATTAATTAGTAACCACGTGTTTAAAGAATAACTTCCCATCTTGCCAGTTTGGACACTGTACCTCCACTATAACAACAAAAAGACATATGCATTCCTCTTTAGTAAGCATAGCAAGCTCAATAAAATGAGGCATGAGCAATTTAATTGCTTTTCTAAAGCAAAGAATATCCAATTTTGAGTGTGATTGTGTATATGGGGATCCCTTACTAAAATGAAAGCAATTTATTTACCTTTGTCATCCCCAGAAACTAGCATAGTATCTAGTAGATAGAAGATGCTCAATAAATGTTCAAAGACTAACTGCCCTTGGTTTTATCAGAAAACTATCTAAATAATCTTATACTACTGTAACAGAATCAGGAAAGGCTATTTTAGATCTACTTTTACATTAAATTTTAAAGCGTAAAGTCTATCACATAAATCAGGAAATGTAACTTTCATTTTTCAATATCCTGTTTGCTGTTAAGTTTTAAAAATAACTGATATGAAAGAATTGGGAGGGAGGGAAGTTAATGGATTTATTAAGAATTTATGCCCCAAACAGTACTGAAAAGATTTGGGGATAATGAGACTATTGCCTAGAGCACTGTGAAAACAGTTTTACAAAGACCAATGTAAAACACATTTTAACTTTATAAATTTAATCACTGCAAAACGTATCTACTTATAACTATTTTCTTGGTAGTTTGTATTAGAAAACTTTACTGAGATAAAGCTTTTGTAGCTACATCAGCCATTATTTCTGTTCTTCTAACCAAACTCAATTAATACATGAAAAAAGATGGGATGATTTTCTGTATTTTCTCACATTTTGGGGTAGTCCACATTAAATCCCATGGAACTTCCAACTCTTCTCAAGCAGTGGAGAAAGTTCTGAGTCACATTTTCAGCTCTGTCGCTATATATAATCAACCATTTATTCAAAGACTGTGTACTTAAAACTTTGCAATTTCGTATATCCTTGGACCAATCAGCAGCAGACACAGGTTGACACTGAGAAAAATAATGATCATGAAAGGGTTAAGCACATTTATTCAGACAGCGGTCAAATAAAGACAGTGTGAAAATGGTCCACACTTGTCCTAAGAGAACTATTTAGTACCACTTGCTATTCACAGACTGCACCTCTGGATGGATTACATGGGCTCCCTGGAAGTGGAGGCATCTGAGCCCCCCAGGTTTGCCACTCCCAGGCTACAGGTCAGTAGGCAAGGCCTTTTATCTTATGGGTCTCCGCTGTGTGCAAAGGTGTGTGGTTCAAAGATCTCTATGTACCCTTCCAGCTCTAAGATGGACAATCTTTAATATGAATGTCCTAGGAAAGTGGGCTGTCCATTCAGTCTCATTAAGCATAATGCTACCTCAAATAGAAACGCTGACTAGGGGCGCCTAGGTGGCTCAGTCAGTTGGGCGTCCAACTTCGACTCAGGTCATGATCTCATGGTCTGTGAGTTCAAGCCCCGCCTCATCCTCTGGGCTGACAGCTCAGAGCCTGGACCCTGTTTCAAATTCTGTCTGTCTCTCTCTCTGCCCCTTTCCTGCTCATGTTCTGTCTCTCAAAATTAAACATTAAAAATTAAAAAAAAAAAAAAAGAAATGTTGACTAATGCTACTCCATCACACTGCAATTAACAAATGCTACAGGGTAGCTAAGAATGTATATTATGCTAGAAGTAGCTATGTCTAGGAGCAAAGATGAGGCCAAGGCATAGGCTCCTTTCTCACTCTTGGATGGTCCCCCAGGTGACTGGAAAACTAAGCTCCTGGCACTGAAGACAGGAGACTTTAGACTGGTCACTAGCCTTCTGCTTATATCCATAGACCGGAAATGGATGGAAATGTCTTTGGTATAGTGAGCCAGGAAGAGCCAGTTAGAATTTAAAAGGAATACACTGAATCAAATCCTTTGCTACTCAGTATTGCCTTGTAGCAACATGGCTATTTCCTGAGAGCTTTTTAGAAATGCAGAGATCTAGGGGGCACCTGGGTGGCTCAGTCAGTTAAGCATCTGACTTAGACTCAGCACTTGATCTCACGGTTCGTGGGTTCAAGCCCCATGTCAGGCTCTGTGCTGACAGCTCAGAGCCTGGAACCTGCTTCAGATCTCATGTTTCCCTCTCTATCTGCCCCTCTCTTGTTCTCTCAAAAAGAAATAAACATTAAAAAAGAAAAAAAAAACGGAAATGCAGAGTCCTGGGTCCCATTCTGGACCCACTGCATCAGAATCCACACTTATTAATCAGCCCATGAATGTTTAAGAAGCATTATAATCCCATATTTTATAGACTTCAAAGCTATCTATGGCTGAGAGAGATTATGGAGCCAGCTGCTGCTGGTCTCAGATCAGTCTTCTTGATGTTGCAATCAGGGTACCTTCCACCAAGCACTCTAAAATCCAACCACAGGCACCCTCATAATGCCATGCCATTAGGTGGCCAGGCAGGGAATCGCCTCTAGGAGGCAACCTTAAAGAATGAAGGGGAAAGGTTAGCTCTCTATCAGTGTTTCCATCTGGAGTCATGGTACATTCTTTCCATTGCCACCAGTATGAGGAGAGCCACAGCTCTCTCACCTACATCCCTACCTGCTATGGGCTGGCAGAGACCCAGAACAAATGTCCAAGGCTCACTGGGAGCCATTATTCTACTCAGTTACTAAAACCCAATTTCAGAAGAGCAGAATTGGCCCAGAAGCCCATGATATAGTCAACTCTAGCCCAGTCACCACCACCACCAGGGGGTGGGTTCTTCTAGTTTAACGCCTCTTCCAAGGAGATCTGTTTCCACACTAAAAAAATGCAACAAAGAAGCTTTGAGAAATACGATTTTACTTACAGAGATGATGAGATGGATCATTAAAAATTTAAATCCTACTTCAGGTGTGGAACTGAAACTGAATTTCTCTTTATTGAATTCTAACAAAAATTTCTTTTTTGAAGTGTTTTTTAAATTTTCTTAATGTTTACTTATTTTTGAGTGAGAGAGGCACAGAGCATGAGTGGGAGAGGGGCAAAGAGAGAGGGAGACACAGAATCTGAACAGGCTCCAGGCTCCCAGCTCTCAGCATAGAGCCTGATATGGGGACTGAACTCACAAATGTTGAGATTATGACCCGAGCCAAAGTTGGATGTTTAGCTGACTGAGCTACCCCGGTGCCCCCTGTAACTAGCTTTTAAAATGGGCAAAACAGAGAGGAAAGTGGAAAGATAATGTACTGTTTTTGCATAAAATAGGTTCATTTTTTTCAACTGAAGCCCAAAAGAGATGTGTCACCTCATGTTTCAGAATGTCTCTCTGCTAAATGCTATGGCTGGGGATGGACTCCCTGCATTTCTTCATGTTGATACCAATTGTGCAGCATTTTACTTTGGGGGAAGAAAGAAACCTGGTATCAGGAAACATAGTCTATTGGAATTAATCTTTGCCAGCTAAAAAAAAGTTTTCAGGTACTATCAATTTTTTTTCTTTTATTTAATGACACAAAAACACTACAACAATTAATAATAGGTGGGCACGTTTTAATTGCTATAGCTTGAAATACCATTTTCTAATGCATCTTTAAATGTGAAACCACACCACACTGACCTAAATAAGGTCCAGTGGGTGCTAAGCCCTCACAAGTACACTCAGATTGCAAAGGAAAACAGAGGGAACGTCAAGGTTTAGGACAAAAGGCAGGCACAGCATGGCCTTGGAGAAACTAAACGAATAGTACAAGCCCACTAGTCACTCTGGCATACAATCAAACTTACACATACTCAAGCAAATACTCTTAAATGAAAATAAAGTCACAGCACTTACCACATGGTCTTGCATTAGTATTTTTTCTGAAGGCAAAACCCGTGCCGTCAGAGACACCTGGCATCCAAACTGCAGTCCCCAGGTCTCCAGCTCAAAACGAGCATCCTTGTTTCTGTTGACAGAGTTGAGTTTTAAATGATTAAAGTGCTTGTTTTCTATAGAATTTTAATTGTTAGAGATAGAATTATAACTTACTGAATTATTCAAAGACTAATTTTTTAAAGGATTCATGACTTTTATTTCTATTCACCATTTTTCCCCCTACTCAGAAGAATTACGGGACAACTGAACCCATTTGGGACGTGCAGGGATGCAGAAGGCTTCGAGTGTGGCACACGGTTAGCAAAATGGGCCTTTGAGTCTGACAGAACAGCATTTAATCCTTAGTGCTGATGCTCCATAATATGTGACCTTGAATAAGACTCAACTCTTCTAATGCTATGGTTTCCTTAGAGGCAAAATGTAGGATTAATAAAGTAAGCCCCTCCAAATGGGTGATGTAATGACTAAACTGACAACGCATGGAAACTGCTACCATGGGGCCAGGCACATGCTAATGTGCTCAACAAATGTGAGCCATTTTTCCCCATAATAAACTTGTTAACAAAGAGACACTGTGGAGCTTCTGCCTGTGGAGAGGTCTTTTGGGAATTTCTGAATTAGTTGGCTTAGGAGTGGATAAAAGATGACAAAGGAAGGGAGAATATGGACTTAGGCCTTGGAAGACTCACTGGATAGACATGGCAGCAGGAAGCTCATGGGGAGAATATCAGTATTAGCAATAATAACTGCTTTATATTTGTATAGTACTTTAAGTTTATAACTTAGTAAACCTTAACCACAGCTGATGTATAATCTCATCGGATTATGATACATGGTCATCCCTATTAAGCTGTAAATTCCTTCAGGAGAGGAACCATACCAATTTTGCCTCCTGGCCTCTACTACAGTAGCCGGCACATGATAAACCCAGCACTCACTAAAGGCACTAATGAAACTCATGCATTACCTAGTAAAGCTTCCCTTCTCTCTTTAGGGGAGCTCAAACCCCTTTACAGTGACTCTGTGCAATAGCTCATTATTTCCATCTGTTAATGCTACATCTGGTCTGGTCACCACTGAATGCCTGGAATTAATTATTTTGCCGCAGATGCTATCTGCCCAAGATGAGATGGGTGAGGTGGTGCCAGCCAGGAAACTGGGTTGAAATAAATGGGATTCCTGAAAGGTGGCAGAGGAGAGGAGGCAGGAAAGTAATCCAGAGCCCAGAATATGGGAAGAGAATCAGGAAACTTCTCAAGCAGGCATAAGCCTGGGGGAGGGCCAGAATAAATGACATAAAGCACAGCCACAAAACAGAAAACTGAAATCACAAGCATGGTATTAGAGATTCACATTTATACTCTGGAAACGTTCAAGAAAAAGCAAGTTACAAAACACAAGGTACAGTACTCAGCCGTTTTCCTAAAATGAACATTGTTACCTGCATTTAAAAATATTTGAAACAATATATACCAATCAGGATTCATTTGCATGTTCACTGACTATACATACACACACATTTCTGTTTACATAAATTTCCAAATTCGTCCTCCAAATTTTTTATCTCTAAGGAAGAAAAAAGGCCATTCTACAATGTTGTCCAGTAGAAATATAAAGCAACACACATACGTAACTTTAAATTTTCTAAATAGCTGTATTACAAAAATAAAAGCTGTCAAGTAAAATTATTTTTAAGATGTATGCCATTAGCTCCATAAATTCAAAATGTGATCATTTCAAGATGTGGCACTAGCCACGTATGTCCTACAGTCACATGAGGCTAAGTACAGGGCAGTGAAGTTCTACTAAGTCAGCTGGGAAAACCAAGAGGAGCTGGGATCCCAGGAGACAGCCAACTGTCAGAATGAGGATAGCAGTCTGAGGGCCACATGGGCTGAACCAAAGGCACACCGTATTCCTAAGCTTAAAGATGACACAGTCGGGGCACCTGGGTGGCTTAGTCGTTTAAGCGTCCGACTTTCGCTTAGGTCATGATCTCGCGGTTCGTGGGTTCGAGCCCCGCGTCGGGCTCTGTGCTGACTGCCAGCTCAGAGCCTGGAGCCTGTTTAGTCTGTGACTCCCTCTCTCTCTGACCCTCCCCTGCTCACGCTGTCTCTCTCTCTCCTAGAAATAAATAAAAATATTAAAAAAAAAAAAAAAGACGACACAGTAGAAATCTTCTAATGGTCAGTGTGCTGAGGCCACCATATTAAGATTGAACATTCTTGACCATGAATATCTGGGGCCTAATGTGGCTGTGGGTTTTTTTGTTTTATAAATTACAACCCCTTTCCTCATTCAGTTTTTTACCTAAAACCTCCATGGATTACAATGATGAAACCAAGAGTCATCTAGCTGAAGCCGGGTGGTACTCCTGCCGGGCCCCCAAGCATGGACCCCCGACCACCTTCCCCTGCCCGGGCTGTAGTCCTGAGGCATCGGATGAACCCCTCGTTCTGGCCAACACAACTGAAAAGTGCCTTGTTCTGAGTCAGTACGAAAGAGACATGTTCATCAAGGAATGAAACGTTTTGTAGACCATCCAATTCTATAAACTAGGACTTAGGAAGGACTCCCTCTGGCCCCACAAAGCGGCCCAGTACCTCTGGATGTCATCAGCGAGCCTGGCCAGGCGCTGCTGCCTTCCCAAAGGACTGAGACGTGTTTCTTCAGCCACAGCTTTCATCAGCTGGAAGTCAGAGGTTGCCTGGCAGGTCAGCCCTATTATGGTAAATGGAAAAGGAAACGGAAAAATGAATAGCATGCAACGTAATCCAGCCCAGCCCAGGCAGATTGTAAGCTTTTCACATAAATGGACGCAGATCTAGCATCTGGATACAAAAGAAATGCAAGCCACACGTGTCATTTTAAATTTTCTAGCAGCCACGTTGAAAAAAGCCAAAAAGAAACAGATGAAGTTACTTGAATAGTATATATTCAACTCAATATATCCAAAATATTATCATATCAACATACAATCACTGTATAGAAACTAATAAGCTCTTTTCTCTTTTTCATACAAAGTCTTAGAAATCCAGTCTGTACTCTACTTGTACAGCACGTCTCCAGCTAGCCCTTTAGTCACCTTTCCAGGGCTCAGTAAACCCATGTGGCCAGTGGCCACCACATGGGACTGTGCAGACAAAGAATACCACTAAGAAGGAGCGTCCCTTCTTTCAAAAATTACATCCTTCTTAATTTTTCTAAGTGTGAAATAAATACACACATATGGTAACTGATCCCAAAATGCAAAAGGTAGAATCCTTGCTTAGTCCTACCCGATTAATCAAATGAACACAATCAAAAGTCCACAGGACAGTTACTCAGATTCTACTGTAGAGTGAGGATTACTTTCTAGAACTCACGCAAAAGGAAAACAAGGATCCCTTTGGCACCACACAATGTAGCTGAACAAAATTAAAGTCCTATTGCTTCCTATGCTCAGAAAGCTCAAAAATGCTAAAGACAAGCTTGGTTTTCTATGATCCAGCAATTCCACTACTAGGTATTTACCCAAGGAAAATGAAAATGCTAATTTGAAAAGACATATATCTATCCTATGTTTATTGAAGCATTCCTTGTAATAACCAAGCTATGGAAGCAACCCAGTGCCCATCAATGGAAGAAGATATGGTGTGTGTGTGTGTGTATGTATATATCTAAATCCACTGATGTATATACACACACACATACACATTCAACAGAATATCATTCAGCCATAAAAAAGAATAAAATACTGCCATTTGTAACAAAATGGATGGATCTAGGGATATAATGCAAAGTCAAATAAGTCAGACCGAGAAAGACAAATACCATATGATTTCATTCATATGTAGAATTTAAGAAACAAACAAACAAAAAACGAACTAAGAAAAAAAGGAGCTAAACAAAAGGAAAGACACCTAGATATAAAGAACAAACTGGTGCTTGTAAGAGGAGAAGTGGGTGAGGGATAAGTGAAAGAGATGAAGGGGAATAAGAGTATCCAAATGAGCACTGGGTGATGTACAGAATTGCTGAATCACTATATTGTACACCTGAAACTAATGTAACACTATATGTTAATTATACCAGAATTAAAAAGATAAAAAAATTTTAATATTCAGGTACAGGGAACAGTTAATACAAAGGCCCTGAGGTAACAGTATGCATGATGTTGCCATTTGTAAACTATTCCTGGATCAGAAGAGTTTAACCTTGAGAGCTTATTTCTTATTAAATTACTAGCATCTCTAGAGTCTCTCCAAAATAAGGTAACTCATGCTGGTTTTTTTGGCTACTCCCTTTTAGTTCACTCTACCATTGGAAAGCAGCATAGTAAAGGTTTCTACTTCCAAGATTAACTGACTCCCTAGAATCCCCTCTCTTATTCTGGGATGAGAAGTACCATTAGAAAGAAATTAAGACCTGAAATCAGACAGGTAAAAGTTTAAATCCTAATTCCGCCCCTATGAAAAGGCATGGGACTTAGAGCAATCTGCAAGCTTTGGTTCCCTCAACTATAAAATGGAGATAATTATAATTATACTTAAATCACATAGAAGTTAAATAGAATAGTGTGTGTCATAATGGTAATAATAATAGGAGCAGTAAGAAACTTTGGGAGGTGAAGGATAGGTCTATGACCTTTAGGGTGATGATGGTTTTCTAAGTGTAAACTTACCCAAACTCATTCAATTGTATTCGTTAAATATTTTTGACATGGCAATCACTACCTCAATTAAGTGGTTTAAAATACACAAATAAAAGACTGAATAGTGCATTTTAAAAAAAGAGAAGCTTGGTTTTCAGAAAATATCTGGTGGCCTCTTTTATGCCAGAGTGGCAAACAGAACGTATGAGATTAAAAAAACATATAACCCTTACTGTGCCAATTTTCAAAGGGCTCTCTACCCTCCCACTTCCCTCTATCAAACACATCACTCAGCAGGCCCACCCTCCATGGGTTAAACGAATGCTCTGGCACTCTGCTAGTTGCCCACTGCCATGTGTCAGGAGCTTAGGATCAAAAGCCTGACTGATAGAGTATAAAGCATAAACATTACCTGTTAGAAAGCAGAGCTCAGGGATCAGGTGGGCCACCCGAGGCTCAATGTTGTTATTTCTCTTGGTTTTCAGCAGACTAACAAGCACTGGCTGGTTTAGGTCAGATAAAGTAATATCATATTGCTATAGAATGCAAGATTAATGAGGGAAAAGTTAATATGACAGCACTGTAAAATGAGCATCCTTGCTTATAAGCCACAAGGTAATCCAAAATGAATAGATAAATCTTCTCAATAAAGGGAAAAAAATCCTACTAATCCCTATGGTTACCCACTCATTTCTACTTCCTTCCTAGGACTCATCTTTGACTTCTCAGGGTCTGTTTTATGATTTTATTGATTACCTTTTATAATGCAATGTTGTTTTCAAAAAAAAGAAGTTCTTTCCTTGCCCCATCCAGAGTCAGAATAGCCTCCAGGAGGCTGTATGTGTACACAGTGCAATGGCCCCCATGGAGGGGACTTGATGCCAACATTTCCACTATTTATGCCTGAGGCCACTGCTCCATACGTAACTAACTGGCTCGGAGCATCTGTAGTCATTCTGAAACTATCTACACACAAACTGGGGGCATATAGAATCAACCTCAGATTTCCCAAAAAACATGACTGTCCATGATTTCCAGGATAGCCCAATGTTACAGGGAAGCAGCTTTGAAGTCTGGCAAATGTGAACCTGGTCCTTGGCTCCCCCGTTTAACTGGACTGTGACACTGGAGAAGTGACTTACCTTTCCTCATCGACGAAATGAGCTGAACAGTAGCTCAGAGGCATCCCACATAAACCACTAGCATGGCATCTGGTTTATAATGAGTCCTTGGCCACTGTTCACTCCTCTCCCACCCCCATTCCCTTCCTAACCTTGAATTTCAACATTCTCACATTGCCAAAAGTCCATTTACCTTCCAATACCAGCGGTTCCAATTAACACTCATTTCAGGTAAAATTTACTCAACACGAATGACAGAACAACTGGAAGTATAATCTGAAAAATGCCCAGGCACTATGTGATGTTGGCATCAGTAATTACTCTTGCAAGAAGCAAGAGTTTCTCTGTTCGGTAAGGACTTTTAGTCATTAAAATAAAAAACAATTCAGGAAATTGCAGTTTGAAGTGCTGACTGCAAGGACTGCTATAGCTAAAAAGCTTGGGGAAGTCTTCATAGAAGGAGAATTTTGATACATGACTTCATTAATACAGTCAACATCTCCTGCTTACTATGTTCCAGGGACCACAGCGGACACAAAAATAGAAGAGGCACTATCCCTACCTCACATGTAACTACACTGTCTACAAACAAGGTATGGAAGCACAAAGATGACATGCTAAGCACTTGTACTTTTCCTCATTTAATCTTAACAACAAACCTATGAGACAGATACTATCTCATCCCCTCTACAGATGAGGAAACATTATGAGAAGTGAAATAACTTTCCCAAGGTCCCAGAAATTAGCTGGATTATAGTAATAAGCTAGTATCACTATAGTAATGGGTATAGTAATATAACTAATAAGTAATTAGCTGGATTACTTATCCCATAACACTTGGGAGCTCTGCCTGCTATACCATTCAGTACTGAGTCCCTGGGGAGGAAGGTGGTATCAGGAAACAATATATGGATGGTAAATCAGGGAAGGCTTCATGAAGGAAGCAAAGTCCAAAAGAGCACCTTGAAGAAAATATGGGAGTCTAAAGATTTGCCAGGGCATGTTCCAGGAAGAGGGTGTTGTATTTACCCGGAACATGGCCAAGAATTCTCCCCACTAAACTGTGTCATAAGATAATCTTTACTCTCTTCCTTGCCCGTTTTCTTAGCATTTGAAAATATTTTTCATGAAAAAATAAAATAGAAAAATAAGGTCAATATCAAGATGTCCACTTTGAGAGTTGACTACACAGTAATTCAGAAACTCAGTGTTCCTTTTCCTGGGACAGAGAGGAAGACATTCTAGAATAGGCACAATTTCTTTCTTTTTCTCCCTAATTACAACATATATGCAGTGAGCTACACATATGCAGTGAGCTACAACTCATTACAAAGAGAGTGAGTGGGATTTTACCATGATTCTCTTCTCAGAATGTCACAAGTCCTAAAAATACCTCTGTTCAAGGAAGAACAAATTTAATCATGCAGGAAAGAAACCCAAATGTTCAACAAACTTGCTGTTTAATAAACAAACACTTATGGGGCATATTATGCACAAGATGCTTTGCTAGGCACTATTCATCACTGGCTAGCCAAACGCCATTCCTGCTCTACAAGGAAGACATTCTAGAAGCAACATGATGCATGATACAAGTACTTAGAGAATTGTTATGTCTTCTGTGAATGTGACAGGAAGCAAAGTCAGAGAGGACTTTACAAATGAGGCGACACATGACTTGGAAGCTAGGGGTTTAGCTGGTGGTGAAGGGTATGGTATGGATTTATGCCAATGTCTAGTGAACATGAGCAAACACAGAGAAACATTTAGTGACAGCAAGTGGATGGGGTGACAGCAGCATGGGGTGCCTGGTGGCAATGCGGTGAGAGATGAGGCTGAAAGGTGAGATGGGACCAAAGTGTGTGATGCCAGAGACGAAGAAGGGGAGGCTGGGAAAAGCGGGGCCGGGTTGCCACCATTTATGCAGTGCTCACCATGTGCGGGCACCGGGCAAAAAGCTCTGTAGGCATGGTTACCTCATTCTGTGCTTGTGCTGCAAGCCCCCGTGAAGGCAGACCAACGACTCCCCATCACAGATGACCCTCCAGGTTTAGTGATTTGATCAAGGTCACACAGTCAGTGTCGGGACTACCCTATTCTCTAGCCTATGCTCTTAACCACCTTTCTGGGCAGCATTTCAGGAAGATCTCTCTGGTGGCAGTGAGGATAATGGGTCATAGCGAAGACAGAGCTGCGGCAGGGACTCCAGAAGGGGGTGACCCAGATCTCCCAGGGGGGAACCCATGAGTCGTCCTGCATTCATGCAGCGGTAATAGGGCTAAGAAAGGGAGATGGGTTCCTGGGAGAATCCTGAGAAAGGAGGCAGGACTGACGCTGGTGACAACTGAATGGGCAGGTGAGGGTAAAGAAGAGGAAGGAAGCGAGAGGGTGAATTTCCCGGAGAAACAGGAGTGGGAAGACAGTGAATTCAGTATGAACGATGTTAGTCTGAAATGCCTGCAGGACATTCATGCAAATGTGATCTGAAAATGGAGATAAGTATGTAATTCAGGAAGGAGGCCAAGGCAAAAATACAGTATTTGAGAGGTCTGGAGATAGGAAGAAGAGATCCTATATGAGGGACCCGTGGGGAATAATTGCATTTAACATCTGGGGCAAAAGGAAGGGGAAAGCATCAAAAGAGGCTGAGACTCAGCAACACAGCCTGGGAGAGAGCCACCAGGGCTGTCCCTGGGAGTCAAGGAGGTGAGCCACTCAGTCAGGTGTCACTGGTGTCATATGCCGCAAAAAGCCCCTTACAATAAGAAAGGTAGCTGAATTTGCCTTTAAAGGGAGCTATTTCCACAGGAGCAGACCGGATGCCAGACTATGGAGGTTTCAGGGAGGAAGAACAACAAAAGAGGGGCTTGGAGCTAGTGAAGGTGACCTTCCAGAGAAATCAGCTAAGTGAAAAAAAAAAAGATAGCTTTTCTTGAAAGTATGGAAAGGAAGAGTTTTTACTATTGTTTGTTTTTTGAAATTATCTGTGAGATTCTGGAGACTGAAATATGATTATATAAGAAGCCTCTGTAAGGAACTCCAGAGGGAAGGTGGGGGATAGAGATAACGGTGATAATTGTGAATCATGCTCTGCGAGGCGGCATGAGATTCCATCAACAAATATTTGAGTATCTGCTATGTATAAGCACCGTGCTTGCCCTGGGTATCCAGAAATAAAGAGGTCAAAGTTCAGGGGAGAAGTCAGACCATTCACATCCTGCCGATGATAATGTGATGGCCCTAAATACAGGAAGGGGCCCCTGGGGAGAGTGCCATGGGGTTCCCCTGAGAGTTGACACGGCTGAGCTCAGTACTGAAGGGCGGTCAGTGATTGACTGGCTAGGAAGGGGTGCCCAGGAACAGGAAGTACATGCCTGAGACTGTAGGCGGTTGGGGGGGGGGGGGCGGGGAGTAGGAGTAACTGACTAAAGGAACTACAAACATAAACTCAGTAGAACAAAGGAAAACGAAAGTGGTAACAGATGGGGCTCAAGAGGCAGGAAGTGGCCAGATTACAAAGGGGCAGTGCCCAGGAGCTTAGGACTGGCTTCTAAGGTACTACAAAGTCATGGAAATATTTTAAGCAAGGAAATGACATTATCAGATATGCTTTTAAGGGAAATTACTCAGACTATAGGAAGAAGGACAACGGGAAGCAGGATGAGGGTCTAAGCCAAGCCAGGGAAAGTAGGCTTGGAGGGGAAGGGACAAATCGAAGAATTATGTCAGAAGCAGTCTCAGCCTGACAACTTGGGGGACCTGTTAGCCTTGGAAAGGAACAGAGAGACATCTCTAAGCTAAGAGGAAGAGAGATGAGCATAAAGTACAGAAGTCCAACCTGCTTATAGTAGTCCACATAGGTGGTCTCAGTGCCATCCTGCTTCTGAAAGGTGTGCGTGGGCTTCACCGACCAGTCAATGTCATCGATGCGGTAGGTTTTGTTATTGTATCTGGGAAATGCAAGAAATCTTCACAAATGTTTCCAAATCATACAAGAGGCTATTTCACCACAGTTTTAATTCAAAGTATTAAACTCCAAAATTTCAGAAATTACAATAGTAAAACAAGAATGAACATTTTTAAAAAAATGACTGACTCTTATATGAGAAGAGCACTCATTAACTCTTCAGGATACAAGAAGACCTCCATTCCAACAAAACAGGTGAGGAAGTCATTAAACCACAATCTTTGTCACCGAGAGACACTATAACTCCAGATAAATTATTCTTAGATGGTCAAAGGCTGAGGCACTGCTCAAAGCTTTCCCATCAGCTTCCGGTGTCATTCAGAGTTTTTGAGCTCCCAGATAGTTCTGCTTAAAAAACAGGGAAGAAGGCTGATCAACCATGCCAGCTGGGTGTCGCACGTAATCTCCCATGGAGGGCTGGCCCTCAGCCAAACTGCAAAGCAGGCTGGCTAAGATCATTTTCATGTCTATTTCCCCTGCAGCACTGTGCGGCCTGGAATATTCTTTCATGCTACCCCAACCTCAAGATGGGAACCTCCCAGGTTTCTCCTGGCTCTTGGTACTTTGCAAGGTTACTCTGGAATATTGTGATAAGCTAATTCATGGCAATCATGACAGGAGGATCATGGGGTGGCCTTCTCATCTCAGGTGGTATGGAAGTCACCCAGGCCCACCGCCCTGCTTATATAACCCAGAAAAAACAACTTGAAGTGAAAATTCCGAACCAGATTAGAAGAGGACTAGCACGTCCTCTAGAACTATCTGTGGACTGAAGCAGGACATGGTAAGCTTTGTAGTTGGTATTCAGGAAACAACCCAATCTGTCTGTGTTTAATTCAGTTCAATGTGCATTCAGGGCAAATTATACACAGATAAACCTCAGGACTTGAAAGTTCTCGGTCTTAAAGCCTCTTTACTCTTACAGAGAAGAGGAGACATGGACCTGATGTTCTCTCCTGTGATGTAATAGAATGAAATAAAATGGCTATGAGCAATGTGCTACGGGAACAGCACAGAGGAGGTAACAGTAATTCCGGTAATGGAGTGGACAGGTGGAGGCTTCAGAAAAACAGTGAGGTATGAGCTGGATTTTGTAGAAACAGAACTTTAAAAAGACAGAATTAGGCATGTAAAATCCAGGCAAAGGCACTGAAGCAGGAAAGTGCAGACTCTTGGGGGTGGGGAGAGGGGTGCAGCTAGAGATGGTTTAGGACTACGTGAGGAGTGGACGGTCCCTGAAGGCCACTCCAGGAAGTCTGAACTCTAGTCAACTGAGAATGGCCAGGTCTAAACAGGTGAATAAACTGATCAGACTGTGCTCAGGACAAAGCTCTGTGGCTATTCCTGTTCCCAAACAGCATAAAGAATTCATTCCCTCAAGGCACCTGGGTGGCTCAGTCAGTTAAGTATCGACTTTCAGCTGAAGTCATGCTCTTACAGTTCGGTTCAGTGTTTGGTTAATTGTCCATGGTTCCTGGGGATTCAAGCGCTGCATTAGGCTCTGTGCTGGCAGCTCAGAGCCTGGAGCCTTCTTTGGATTCTGTGTCTCCTTCTCTCTCTGCCCCCACCCCCAACACTCTGTCTCCCTCTCTCTCTCAAAAAATAAACATTAAAAAAAAAAAGAATTCATTCCCTCAGGAAGTTTTCTTAAATGCAGGCTTTTACCTTGTAAGGACAATGAGCCCAAGCAGCCGTTTCTCACACGTCTGGGTAAAGCAGGACATACCAGTTTCCTGGCAGAGATCAGTCATGAATTCTAGAACAGTCTCATTTCGGAGTACTTTATAACTCACATCAGCAGTAAACAGGAGCCTGCTCTCAAACTGTGACACAGAAATAGCAAACCCAGGCCAAAGGGATAACCTTCAAATAAATAAACAAACAAATAAATAAATACACATATAAACACACATAAATACGTGAAATAAATAAATTTGAAATGTCATATCATAAAACAATAAACATTTTAGTGGTCCTCTTACATTCCAATTTTCCTCGTTTTATGGAACAATCTTTCCTTAGTCTGATTTTTTCCAGCTGTGACTAAAATCTTCAGTTATTCCTAGCGGAGGAGTGTCTTTAAGCATATATTTATGATAAATGGCTTTCCAAAGAAGCAAAGCGTCTCCCCTCCTTGGCACTACTGACATTTGGGACCAGATCATTCTGTGTTAGGAGCTGTCCTGTGCCCTGTAGGATATTTGGTACTACTCCCTACCCCCACCCCCGGCCTCTACCAACCAGATGCCAGGAGCAGCCTCCATGCTGTGACAACCGAAATACTTCCAGACTTTGCCATATGTATCCTGGGGGGCACACATGCCCTTGGCTGAGAACCACAGCTGTAGGATGACTACGTTTATGGACTGGTGTGTCCCAGCATGAAAACCTCGAGGTTCAGAAAAGCACACAGACTCAACAGTGAAGGCAGTATACGGACCCCACGAGGGTAAGAACTAATCTAAGCGACATCTCGTACACACACAGAAGGGACACCAGAGCAGAGGCTACAGCTCCTTTCTACAGTGATGAATATCATGGCCTGAAGTCTTGAATAAGAAAAATTTATGGAAAGGACATGAAAGAACAGGCAAATATATACATATTTTTAGATTGTTTCAGTTTACTCTGTGGACTTCATTCACGGCCAGCTCTTAGGACAAGCACCTGTGCTAGCACCCACTCCGGCTCAGCACAACTCTACACCGACAAGAACTTCTAATCCAGGTTGGGAGGTAAGTGAGAGCACCAACAAGATGCTTCCCACAGACCACTCTGACACCCTGAATTAACAGATGGGAACCCCAGCACTTCCTCCCTACCTGGCAGCAGGCTAAACACCCTGCCCCTCATGTCTTCTCGCTTATGCACTCCTTCCTTTGTATACAGATCTGTCTTTGGGTTACCAATTGCCTCTCTGTCTTTAGCTTGACCATGTATTTTGGAGGGCCAGCAACCCATTGTAGACATAACTGACCACTTTCCTGGAAGCATGCACTTCCGGTTTAGAGTGAAAATTCGTCCCCATTTACTTGACTTGTTTGTCTGGCCTCTGCTTACCCAATATGAACCATCCTGTCTGTGCTAACTTCCTGTCAGCAAGAAAGCAGGGTATCAAATATGCGGTATAACGTAATATAGCTTATTCTACTCTCATTACTACTTGTCATGCACAAAAAACTCAGTTTCTGAATTCCTTCTAGGACTTATGATAATCATCTCAGCATGTTAAAATAAGAAAACAGGCTGCTTCACAGTGACATTCACCATCCCATAAAAAAAAACTTCAAAATTCAAAAAATCCATTATTTTTCATAATACACAGTCTCTCAGAGGAGGCATAATGGTAGAAAATTGCATCGTAAATTATGTTCTTCACATTATAACAATTTCAGAGTAACAAAGTATAAACAAACCTACTTGTGCTGGGGAATTTCCACTAGCTCAGAAGGCTTATAGAAGTTCCGTCCTATTTGGTACATGGCCAACTTTTTTAAGATCCTGCAAGTATACATATATTTTAAATCTTTGGTAAACATCAGTTAATAACAGTATCATACTAAGTTTGTACCCATGCTGGACATCCTGATAAAATTATGTAGAAAATATAGAACTATCATTCTTCTAGCACTGGAAGGCTTAGATGCTAAATATATGTACGGGTGTGTATATGAGAACTATCACTTCTTCATATTTGAGAATCGTATCATTGAAATTGTTTTTGTCTGTCTGCATTTAACTGCAATGATAAATATGTGGTCACCAATATGACTGTGGTTGCAACATTCTGGTTAGCATGGGGTGAGGCAAGCCATGTTTGAAGGCTCTTCCAGTATCTCCCCTGATTTGACAAAGGGAAGCGATTTCTAATGAGGCTACTCAGGCTCCCCACATGGCATAGCTGCCTCTTCAGCAACAAATATCCTGGTCACCTTTGGAAAGGACACATCACTGATCTGAGGCTGCCCACTGCATGAAGGAAGTGTAAGCATCTCAGGTCAAAAAACATGGGTTACAACTCCATGATTCTGGCTACCACACGTCATTGAGCCTATCTACTGAACATCTGATCTAAAGCTGCTTAGCAGGACGTCTGACTAGAATTAGGAAGTAACGCATCTGGGGGTGGGAGGGGATTCCTTTATGTGCCCAACCCATCAACAACCAAAGTCTTTCATCCTCCTCCTGTCCAGAGACCATTATTGAGCACAGGGCTGGTGTCAAAGGTTTCTGGACATATCATCTTGCCGGTCCATACCAGTAGCATGGAAAACTGCCGTTCACAAACATTTGTGTTCCTGTGTGTCGTCTAGGAAGTGTGCTCAAAATATGGAGTTTTTCAGGCCCCGTTCTTGACATTCCATTTACTAGGTCCTGGGAGGGGCCGGGAAATCTGCATTTTGTGGAGTTTCACCTCCCTTCCACCCCAGATAACACTGAAGCAAGCGATCCTTACATCAATTTCGAGGAAACTGTAATCACAATTTCTGAAAAGTGTAATCACAGCCTTCCTTCTGCCCCAGGGGTTCACATGGGGAAGGGTGAGGCTGAGGGTGGGGATGAGAGCAGAGGGAAGCTGGTGATGCTAGAAAAATAACACATAACAAAGAATATTTAAGTCTCGGGTGAAGGGTGGGAGAGGGTAAGGAAAAGGGAACCCTCCTCCGCGCCTCCCCTCCTGCCCACAGCTGCCACCTCTGAGACATCACAACCCTTGAGTTCTTTGTCCCAACTGAAGGAGCACTGGATGGCCAGATGGGAGTGAGAGGCTGTGAGGGACTGCAGGTATAGTACTGCACAGGTACATGGAAGTGCATGGAAAAGTGCCCTGCGGATGACGCTGCTGCTCACAGGTGTCCCATAAGATGGTTGACAGTCATCAACCCAGGCTCTATGCTGAAAGGCGTCTCTAGCCTCAATTAAACTGACATGTGAGGTGCCTCACTTTTTGAAGATGATATTGAAGACCTGGATGCACACGGGGGAACTTGCTGGCAGCTCCCTTGTCAGAGTGATAGTCATCTTTACAGTCCCGCCTCTGTGAGTTTCACTCAACAATTCCGTGACCTGGAAAAGATGTACTTAATAGGCACTCTAGAGTGTCCCCGAGTGTGAAGAATTAGATATGATACATCCATCAAAATCTAATATGCATTAACAAAACAAAACTGCAGGTGTTAGTAATGTAATAATCTAATCATATTATACTTGGAGAATTTTTCTGTCATGCTAATCCTAGAAAAGCAACACATCTCTTTCCTCTTAATGGAAGATCTTAATGGAGAATCAAAATCAGAGACTTGATCCAAAAAGAAATCCAGAGCAAGGTTTCTTCATCTTATTTAGTGGGGGGGGGGGGGATGACACTTGGGGGACAGGCCACAAATCACCTTGAGGGTGTGAAAAAAGTTTTAGGCATTGTCCCAAGAAAACTTTACATACATGTATACCACAATGATACACCTATGTTCACAGACACCCAGAAACCTACTAGTGGACTGTCCTGCACATTCTGGGTTTGTGGATTCCAGAGGACAGCCTCTCAACATTATTCATAAAACAGAAGACCAAAGAAGAAGAGAGGAAGAAACAAAAGGAGAGAGGATCTGCAAGTAAAGTGGAAATAAATGTGGGAAAAGAGGGGAGAAATCAGTAGGCATGAAAACAGAGAGGGAATCTGATCTTACTAATTTTTGAAACCCTCTCTCAAGGCTTCAGTGGTCAGTGGGGGGCAGTCCCTATCTCTCCCCAGGACATTTAAGAGTCTCCCTACATTGGAGCCACGACTTCCATTCCTTCCCTGCTAAACCTGGATTATCAGAAATTTCTAAAATATGCCCCTCACCTTCTATCATTGTGCCTTTGTTCCTTCCTGTACTTTTGTCTTGCATTCCCCCCCACCCCCCTCCCCCTCTTCATTGATTCCAATCCTACCCAAGGAGCCAGTTCACTTCCCTTCAAGTATCCTCTGGGAATGGTCTTTCATCGAGCTCTGTATGAAGCCCTTGGACAAGACACTTAACCTCTCTGAGGCTCCAGGGGTGATGAGAACATTAAAGGAGGTCACACATACAAACAGCCTGGCAGAGTAGGCACGCGATAAATGTTGCCTTGTACCGCATTCATTTATAAATAACCTTGCGCTGTATTTAGTTGGAAACAACTTTAGTGCCAAGTTGAAGTTGTTTGACAAGAACCTTGTTTTATGTGTCCTGGTTTCCTCTATAACGGCAGCACCCGGCAGTCACACGGCAGGCCCTTTAGAAGCGTGGAAAGAAAGCGTAAGAGTGGCACATTGATGTGACTAGTGCCAGCCATCCAGGTTGTGGCCACAGATACACAGATGGGGTCCGCAAGACAGCGGAAGGCCAGGAAGCAGCAGAACAGAACTTCTAGAACTGTGCTATGTGGGAGTGCAATGAATGATTAGTGGAGGGGCTCTTTCAACAAAAATGAGCACCCTACAAAGTGTGTGGAGGATGGATGGGAGTGCCGGAGAAGCCCAAGTCAAATTAAGATGAGAATAAAAAGGTGAGCACAGTAACATGTTTGTTGGGACACTATTTCTTCTTACTGTTTCTATTTCACTGTCATTGGGTAGCAGGTCATATGTTGATAAGGCACAAGACAACACTCTTTTGTCTAAACCCTTTATCAACTGTGTCCAGGAAATAAAATCAATAGGCCTGACTTGTGTCACTAGGTTTCTCCTCAGCTGCTTCTCCATTAGATTCCATCCCAAACAGTACGGTACATTCCACATGCTCATTTTGAGTGAGAAACAAGTAATAGTAACTTATTCTGAGCATCTATAGAGTAAAATTTTTCCATTTTGGTTAGGTACAATTGAAGAAGCTAGATTACTCAATGGAGAGTATATAATACTGACATATCTAATCTACTGTTACTACAGATGTATGTACAAGAACAAGATGACTTTTAATTATAACAATACACCTGAAACATATATCATTCAGTTATGAGAGGTGTGGTATATTAGCATGCTATCAACATCTGGTCATAAGACAAAATACTAAATCAATAAGGACTTAGGATGAATGCAAGTATTTCTAAATTTACACATCTAGATTTCCCAAGCCCCTAAATTTAAGTCTATGATATAACTTTTAAATTCCATATCCAGAGAAAATAATCACTCAAGTAGCTCTTAGAAATCTCAGGCTCTTGTAAAAAGATAAAAGCCCCAAGAACGGTCAGAAGCCTGTTTCTTCAAGTACCTAAGTGGCTCCATCAGTTAAGCAACAGACTCTTCATTTTGGTACAAATCATAATCCCAGAATTGTGGGATCAAGCCCTGTGTCAGGCTTAAGACTGTCTCTCTCCCTCTATCTCTTCCCTACTCATGTGTGTATGCACTCTCTCTTAAAAAAAAAAAAAAAAGAAAGAAAGAAAGAAAAAGAATACATTTCTTGAGGAAATTCACAGAGATTTATGTGGAGTCCAGAAATTTAAATTTATTCCTTGGTACTATCTTGTCCAAAATGTTGAACTAAAAGATTAAGCTTTCTCAGGAATAGAAGCATAAAGTTTTAACCCAATGCTCCATTTTAATTTTTTATAAAGAAACTGGTTCTTTTTTCCTTGTAGTAATCTTAATACTGTTTCAGAACAAAGCATATGATAAAAACATCAATAACAATATATTTTAGGACTGAAAATGTTGAAGGTATAAAAACATGGATAAAGGAATATGAATCATTCAATTGCCATAGTCAACGATCATGCCATTAAAACGTATCCTTAAGATTGATATCAATAACCAATATTTCATATGATCAAAGAAATGACAGTTTTTGAATCAGAAACTGATCTAAAGCTATTTGGACACACAGATACAACTGCGCAGGAGCAGAAAAAGTAGAGTAAATTTAAAGCAGTGAAGCCATAGGCTAAATGGTGTTTCTTAGTCTTGTCTATTTGGGGAGAAGTTTAAAAAGGATGCCTGTTTCAAGGCAACTTTGCCTTGAAAAAAAAGTTGTAGTTAAAACATCAGTGTTTGTATTACAGCTCTTGTTTTTTAAATGCCAGATCATCAGCTTCTTTACTAAGAAATCAATTACTGACGAGGTTTTAAGTAGGAAGTCTTTTTGCCCTCAGGCATGGGAACAGGAAAGAAGATAGGAGCAAGTGAAACACTCATTCCAACTGTTACGACAATCAGCCAACCTCTCAAATATACACGGATGAGTGTAAGTATACGCATGTGTGTGCGGGTATAAAACTTAACCATACTGTACCTTTCCTTCCAGTTTTTGTGCGAGAAAAAGCATGACACCATCAAATGCTTTTGCTTTGTTAGAAAGTTCCCTATGGCTATAAAGCAAAGCAATTCTCAGCCTTCTAGACTCTAACTCTGGATCGTACGTCACATGATACTGGTAGAGCTGCCAGTCCTGGGGCAGATCTAAACTAAAGAGGTTTGTGACGAGCTTCACAGGTACTCCACTGGAACCTGAAGAAGGCAAATAAAAAAACATTGTTTTAACCAAAATAAAATCACACCATGCTAATACTGATCGCATCATTTAACAGTTATATTTGTGGATGCATAGTTGTTGCGTGTGTCAGTAAAACAAGATAAGCTCTAACAACCTATAGCCTGGTAACCTTCTGGAGTCCTACAAACACATATTTAGGAATTAAAAAGCGATCCTGGGTAAAGTAGTTTTCATAAGAACCTAAGAGAAGACGCTGACATTCTTCTCCTTGGGAAGGGAGAAGCATCAGAATTCAACCACCCCAGGACAGGACTCCTTCCAAAGCTTGCCTTCCAGCTCTGAGTCTGAAATTCAAACTGGCTCAAGTAAGATTTTCAGATGCTGCTCTGAAACTATGTTGCTCTTAGATTATAAAGAAGCTGTCCCGTTCATCCATGAACACAATCACAGCCCCTTGAAAATCCAGAAAACCAAAGGTTAACAACTATACTTCTGAAAATTCTGGGACAGTTCAATCCGTGGTTAGACCACTCTACAAGTCTCAGGGAAGGGACTGAGGGGGCAGGAAAGGGGAGAGAGAAAGAAATTACACATCTTTTATATGTAAAAACAGACAAGACCTCTGGGCTTCTGTTTTCTGCAGACAGAGAGGGAAGCCATGTATACTTCCAGAAATTCCATCCCCTACAGAGTTTATTATTCACCTCTTCAAAATATACAGGACAAATTCAGAGCTGGCCTCAATATAGCTGTTCTGTGCTCAAGATGGTGTAAGCTCCCTCTAGCACGGAATCTAGGAGGGCACAGAGGAGTTGCTACTTTGAACTTTTCCTTGTAGGGAATCATCCAATGTTTGTCTTACGAAAAAGAATGATATCAAATGGGCACTATTTTGTTTTCTTTCATGGAATAAGTGGAAACATGAGCCACCAAGGTGGTAAGAAAGGAAAAACATGCGTGCATATTTCCTTAGCTTCTACATAACGTATATATCCATTAGGAGCAAGTAATTAACGAATTGTGCTCTTTTAATTAGAGAAAAGCTTTCTTTTGTTTTCCTGTATCCTGGGAAATGGCAACATATGTTAGCTGCTCTATCTGTGGACAAAGAGGAGTCATCCTAGAATACCAGCGCTGGCAAGATCCTTGGAAATCATTCATACCGGTGTTTGCAAACAGTAATCACGACCCATTAGTGCTGAAGTTATGGAAATATATGAGATGACCCATTATGTCTTATGAAATGACTGGAATGCAACCGAGTAGACCTGAGTAAGGGCGAGCATTGTTTCATGAAACTTAGTTTCAATTTTTTTGTGTTAGTGTGTGTATGTTAGATACACAATATAGATAACAATATATTTATTTCTTGCTTTTTTGCATGGTTATAAAGAGTTTGAAGAAAACTAATCTGCCTCAGGGAGTCTCTGTTAACTTTTGGGAGGGTGTCACAAAGCCTTTCAAGAATCTAATGAAGACAACAGACCTACTTTCCTCAAGATGCATGTGCACACTCCTCACAGCAGTCAGAGTGGCTAAAATGAGCAAATCAGAGAACTCGAGATGCTGGCGAGGATGTGGAGAAACAGGCACCCTCCTACACTGTTGGTGGGAATGTAAACTGGTACAGCCTCTCTGGAAAACAGTGTGGAGGTTACTCAGGAAACTAACAATAGAACTCCCCTATGACCCAGCAATAGCACTGCTAGGAGTTGACCCAAGGGATACAGAAATGCTGATGCACAGGAGCACATGTACCCCAATGTTCATAGCAGCACTCTCCACAATAGCTAAAACATGGAAAGAGCCTAAGTGTCCATCAACGGACGAATGGATCAAGAAGATGTAGTTTATCTATACCATGGAGTACTACATGGCAATGAGAAACAATGAAATCTGGCCATGTGTAGCAACATGGATGGACCTTGAGGGTGTTATGCCGAGCGAAATAAGTAAGGCAGAGAAGGACAAATATCATATGTTTGCACGTATAGGAGGATTAGGAGGAACTTAACTGAGGAACAAGGGGGAGAAGAAGGGGGAAAATGGTGGGGGAAAGGGAGAGAGGCAAACCATGAGACACTCCTGAATGCTAACAAAAACTGAGGACTGATAGATGTGGGTGGGAGGAGGGATGGGCATGGAGGAGGGCACTTGTGGAGATGAGCACTGGGTGTTATGTGGAAACTAATTTGACAATAAACTATTTGTAAAAAAAAAAAAGTTAATATTTG